AAGGTGAAAAATATAAATTATCTTTTAAAATTATCATATTAAATTAAATTATTGTATAAAAAATATTGACATAATTTATTGTTATAAATTTTTATTTTTAAAAAATTGATCAAATTTAAGTATTGTCATTAAATTTTGTTAAATTATTATTTTTGAAATTTAATATAAAATTAATGATCATTATTAAATTTAAGTAAATTTCTTAAAAATAAAAATTTGTGATAACAAATTACATCAATATTTTTGTAGGTAAAGATTTATTTCAATAAAATAATTTTGAGTTTAAGGTAATTTCTAAAAAATAAAAACTTGTAACGACAAATTATTTCAAAACTTTTTAAATAAAAATTTACTTAAATAAAATAATTTTGAGAGGAATTTACACATTATACATTCTAAAAAATTTAACCTGGGAAAAGTAACACCCATATGCGATGTGGTCTGAAATACTGACTACTTTTAATGGATGCCATTTTTCAATATAATTAACGTAAATTAATTTTTACTGTAATTTTTTCATTACAGTAATATTAATTCAAACTGTGATCCAGTTTGAAATATTACTTTTTTAGACCAAATTATTTTTGAATAGTTTTTGTTAAAAATAGTAAAATAATTTTCTCAAAGGTTCATGGTTTAAGAATGGCTCTTCATCGCACCTGGGCCTTATGGTCCAATGGTCATACATCAACTTTTAAGGTGCATCCCCCAACTCAAGGGCTGGGGTTCGATTCTCCCCTCCCCTATATTTGTAACCTTGTCCAAAAAAAAAAAAAAAGCTCTTCATCTTACAAGAAGCTTATCCACATATTTTGAGAATTCACGTAATATTGTAATAGTTGTTGGTTCATTTCCTATCATTATGTTTTGCCCTTGGACCAACTTGATTGTACTTGTGATTACAATTATATTTATGGTATGCTTATGTCGTATATTAATTGTTATTTTTTTATATAGATTTATATTTTTAAAGTATCTACAATATCTATCGTATCCAAAAGTAATCATAGTTATTGCTATTAGTGAGTTGCTATTAGTGAGAACCATATAATATAATAATAACATTTTTAAACTATTAATTAGTTGTGTATATCATGAAAATAGGATATTAATTTTGTAAAAACTAACATGCAAGTGACTTAAAGTAAGTATGTGTAGCCAAGGTTGCAAAAGGCACGCCTAGGCGTTGCCTGATCGTCGGGCGATGGCTTTTCGCTTCGCATTGATCTCTAGTTGGTGGTTCTATGTGGTTTGAATTGCTTAAGTGGATTAAGCAGGCTCAGGCGCTATTATGCACGTTTAATTGCGCCTAATAGTGCCTAGGCAATTTTTTTTGTTTTTGCATATTAATGAAAAATGTTGTTTCTTTGTCAAAAAATAAAAATAAAAAAAGACCTTAATTCCTATTTATTCCCATTTCCATTTGCCTGCCCCTTGCCTTTCACTGTGCCTCTTCTTGCTTCCTTTTGTGAGACACTGAGACCCTTCATTTTCCATTTCAAAACCCAAACATATAAACACAAAATAAAGTTCAAATAGTAATTTAGTTCCTTTTTTTTTTTTCTTGTTTTGTCTTTCTTTTTTTCCCCATATTTTAGTTGATCATGTTTTAATTTCAGGGCTCCAATCCTCTGTAATACTCTACCTCCAAATTACTTTGTTTCGAAAATTTGAGTGCATCTTTGAGTTCCTAATTTGGGTTCAAGGTATGTTGATCTTATAGTTTCAAGGAAAACTTTGAACTTTCATCTTCAAAATTGAAAATTTTGTTTTATTGTTGTATTCTTGATTCCTTGTTAAAATTTGCATTCAACGACAATCATACAAGAACATTTTGCTCTATAAAAAATTTTTAGTCAGTAGTCACACAATTCATACATGTATATATTTGTTTGTAATTTGTGCTGTTTGTTGTAAATTGTAATTTTAGTAACATTTGGCTTTGTAATTTGAAGATTTATTTCTGTATATTCCTCTGTTTTAGATTCAAACTTAGACTTGAAGTTGAATTTTTTATTTTTATCTATTTTATCCAGAGTTTAATCCATATAATGAATACAAATCTTTCTTCGGATGCCTCAAATGTGACTGCAACTTCAACTTCCTCTTCCTCTTTGAAGAAGAAATCAGATGATGTGGGTTGGGCTTATGGAGAACTCTATGATTCAAAAGATTTAAATGCTGTAAAATGTAATTTTTGCCGAAGTATATTCAAAGGTGGCATCTATAGATTAAAATGTCATCTTGCTCATTATGGAACCAATGTTAAGAAATGTTAGAAAGTTTTAGATGAAGCTAAGAAAAGATGCCGGGAAGCTTTGGCTGGGGTAAAGATAGGCAAAGATCAAAAGCCACAAGAATTAGCTGAAATAAGAGAAGTTGTTGTTAGTTCTCTTAAAATGCAACAAGGGATGGAAATAGATGTTGATGCTATTGATATACCTGTTCCACCACCAGCAAAGCAACTTAGGAAGCTTGGCCCATTAGATAAATTTAGTTTGAAAAACATGGATGTCAGTAAAATATTTGAAAAAGACTTAAAACAACAAAGATTAGATGATTCCATTGTTAAAGAACGTATGAATGATGTTCATCCATATGTGGCACGGTGCGTTTGTCAAGCTGGCATCCCTTTCAATGCCATTGCACATCCAAGCTTTATTGCTATAATGGAGGTAGTAGGTAATCATGGGAGAGGTTATTGGCCACCTAGTCAATATCAATTAAGTGTGCCCCTTTTCAAGAAAGAAGCTGAAAGGACAAAGGAGTCACTAAAAAACCATGAAGAAGAGTGGAAAGAAACTGGATGTTCATTAATGACAGATGCTTGGGTTGATAGGAAACGTAGAAGCATCATGAACTTATGTGTAAACTCAAGGTTGGGAACAATTTTTCTTTCATCCAAAGAGGAATCTGAGGATGCCCATACAGCTAAGTATATAGTCAATTATGTTAATAAGGGTATTGATGAGGTTGGAGAAGAGAATGTGGTTCAAGTTGTCATTGATAATGCTGCAAACAATATGGCAGCAGCAAGGCTTGTTTTAGAAAAAAGGCCAAAGCTATTTTGGAATTGTTGTGCTGCTCACACAATCGACTCGATACTTGAAGGAATTAGCAAGATTCCCAAATTCCATAATGCGATCACAAAGGCTAAAAGTTTTATGATTTTCATCTATGCACATCATTGAACATTAGCATTGATGTGTAAGTATACGTTAAAGGCAGACATAATGAGGTCGAGAGTGCCAAGATTTGCAACCTCATTTCTCACTTTACAAAGCTTATATGAGAAAAAGGAGAAGTTAAGGCTCATGTTTACTTTGGATGAATGGCAAAAGTCTAAGCATTGTAAATCTAGTAAGGGAATTCAAGCCAAAGCAACGATGTTTAGTGTTTCATTTTGGAAAGATGTTAATATGTGCTTGAGGATTTTTGCTCCTTTAGTGAAGGTTTGTCTTTTTCCTTTCCTTTTTCAATTTTTCCTCTATTCTAATATCAAATTGGTTATTTTTTTATTATCCATGTTAATAATATTTTCTCACCAGACATTTTGTACAATTAGTTAGAATTTGCTATGTTAGTTTACTATATTTAATTTGTAATTTACAAACTTCTATAGGTTTTGCGAGTAGTTGATGGGGTAAGTAGACCATCCATGGGTTTCATTCTTAGAGAGTTGGAGAAAGCAAAAAAGGAAATACAAGTAGTTTATAAGAACAATGAAAATGGATGCAAGCGTGTTTTGGACATTATTGATGAAAAGAGTAAAGATAGGCTTGATACATCCTTACATAAGACTGCATATTTGGTGACTGCATATTTGGTGAATCCATATTATTTTTATAATGATCCAAGTATGAAGATGGATTCAAAGCTTCAATTAGTTACATTGGATTGCATTGAAAAGTTTTTTTATGAATGATGAGGATGCCATTTATGATGTTCAAAACAGTGAGTTGGCCAAATACAAGCTTTGTGTAGGTTGCTTTTCAAGAAAAAGTGCAATTAATGGAACACAAGTTCCAATGGATAGTTTTGACCCAAGTAGTACATTATTAAATATTTAATGCTTTTGTTCTTACTTCTTAATGCTTTTGTTCTTACTTCTTAATGCTTATGTTTAATTAATTGAAGATTAATTTTAACTATTTGTCTATTTCTTGTAAATTGGTTAACTTTTAGTTGCATGGTGGACAACTTGGGGAGCAGAAACTCCATATCTTTGCAAAATGGCAACAAGAATTTTGTCTTTGACTTCTAGTGCTTCAAGATGTGAACATAATTGGAGTTGCTTCGAGGGGGTAAGCGATTGTTTATTATACTAATTCTATTTTATATAATTAGATTTTTCTTACATATGAATATGTGATAGTAATATTTGTGCTTTTTGTCACTAATAGATATACACTAAAAAAAGGAATAGGCTTGAAGCTTCTAGATTGAATGATTTGGTTTTTATTCAATTCAATGCAAAACTATCCAACAAGGAAAAGAGGGCTAGTGAGAATGGAGATATTGTTGAGGAAGATAAATTATTTCCAGGAATAAATATTTCTTGTACTGTGGTTGCAGAAGCATTAGGGGTAGATTCTATTTTAGAGCCTAGAAGAAGCACCAGGTCTCATTTTACTCTTACTCCTCCCTTAATGAGAGAGCTTAATGAAGAGTTAGATGAGTCTTCTGATGAAAAGGAACCGGGGGTAGATGAAGATGTTGGATTTGTTGATAGTGATGAAGATAGGGTGCTCCAATTTCAAGGAGATGATGCAAAACCTTGGTCTGATGATGAATAATTGCAATTGGATTTTAGTTCTGTTTTTGTGTATGTTTTGGATTTTAGTTTAGCATAGTAGACAGAAGTATTGTGTAGCAACTATATGTTTTTGGATTTTAATTTTAATTTAGCACAATAGTGCAAGAATGCAATTATGTTTCAAGTTTCAACTATGATTTTGTTTTTTGCATTTGGATTTAAGATTTTTAGTTCTTTTACTGTTTATGACTTCATGGATTTGGATTTTGGATTTGAGTTTGGCAGTGCAGTGCAGCTTTGTTTTTGTTTTGTTTTGTTTTTTTGAGTTTTGACTCTCATCTTGTTACAAGAGGATGGTATTGTTTAAGGCTAGAGCCACTGGACAATTAGGCTTTTCTTCCAAACCATGGGCAACCCATTTTGCAAACTGAAACTTTATTGGTTTCTAACTACAAATTGGAAAATAAATTTGTGCTTTGTGGTGCTTCCTACTAGTGAAGAGATGCAGGCAAATGTAATCATCTGTGGAGTGTGGATTTTGCCAGTCTTCTAGAGTCTCAGAGGTAAAGACTTATTAGGAAGAAAGACTTCAAAGGCTTCAGGAACGACTACAAGTACCTTTTGATGGCACTCGCCCTGATCATCAGGTACTTTTTTCATTCTTGTGATATGTATTATTTCTCTTAAACTTTGTCTCCTCTAACCTGGGTTTTCACGTTATGTCTGAAGAACACGATTATAAATTTTAGATTTTAGTCATTTTCCTTGTTCACAATTCTTTTCAAAATTTCAATTTTTTTTAGGTTATGTTAAATGTTAGGTCTATTGATCACTCAAATCATCTTTGATAGTAAGCTCTGAAACTGAAAGCATCGTGGGATGTTGCCTTTCCTAACATTTCTATGAAAGGCTTGATCTCAGAGTAGTGGAAATCAATGGGCTGGCAGGGTCCTAATCCATCAACTGACTTTAGGCACCACACTTTCATTTAAAACTCTAAATTTTCATCTTTTCCTCTCGTTCATGTTTTCCTTCTTAATGCTTTAGCTTTCTGCTTACCTTCATAAAAGAAGGCCCCATTACCAAAAGGACACGCTTTTTTTGACAAAGTGGAAGTGTTCTACTTTTATAGATTCTAATGCTTATTTTCTTAGAATTCTTCTGATTATAATAATTAAAAGTTCCTTCTCTAGCATTGTGTGAAAACTGCACTAGAAAACATGGAGATTATAAAATTGCATTCATCTTGTAATTCCAAAAATCTTTATTAATTCCTATATGTAATATTGTAATTGAGATTGATCCACTCTGAAACTTTCTTATACAGGGAAATCATGATATAAAGTGCCTTTGATAGTTCAAAACCAATTATTAATAATTTGTTGTTCTGCATATGTTGTAGAACATATAAGTAATAGAATAATATTCCAAAACTCCCAAATACAACTGGTATCAGTTTTAATTCTTCAATATCAGAGAAATAAATAAATAGATAATTTTATCTAAAGATTGAGGGACTTGATACCATGAATCATTTGAAAGATTATGATTGTGTCCTTGACATTTAGATATGAAAGGCATTTGTCTAAGAGTGAACTTATATCCTTAGGGGTTGTGATTTTATTTCTTTGGAGAACTTGCTGTTTTTTTGACAGAAGTTATCTGGTCTGTTTTCTGTTCTTTTTTACTCTTATGTTTGGTTTCGAGATTTTGTCAAGAAATTTAACTTAATACTAATTGGTTAATAATACAAAATGAAGGCATCATTTCATAGGTTATTATTCAAGCAAGATGGGGAGCAAGTGGTTTGGGAATACCCATTCGATGTTGCCGGCATTAATATATCATTTATGTTGATTCAGATGTTGGATATATATGTAGGTTTATAGACAGTATCCATTACTTATTTATTATTGTAGCCAATAGGTTTTCTTGTCAAATTAAAGCTTAAAACCCCATTATTACATTGTACATCATAATACTTTGTACAAAAATAGAGAATAATGTTTTGACCATAGGATATCCACCTAAACTCAAGTGCCCCCTTACCAAATCTAAGCTCATCTAGTTCATAAATTTGAGTCTATTAATTTTCTGACAATTCTTAAACATCTCTCTGTAATCTATCTTTGCTTTAATTTAGGATGGTTTACTTTCTAAAATACATCCTTTCTGAGCTTGGATATGAAAACACATCATTCCATAGTAGTTGCAAGTTTCCTCCTAAGATCTGCATGATTGCATCACTGTCAAACCATACATTATTAGCACAATTGCATTTAATATGTCATTTTATGCTTGCTTTCCAGAGTTTCTATTCACTTAATGAAAGTGCCAAATTATATTAACAGTAACATAAATGTAACACAATTTTACATGCTTTACATATGCAAGAAGTAGAACTTTTTGCCTCCAAATTTACATTTATTTGTACCAACTACTAAGTGCAAGTGCCAACTTGTTTCGTCCACACCTAGAGCCTGCATAATGAAATAATTAAGGTAAGTAAATTTATAATGATAATGAATAGAATTATAGAAAAAAGTTTAATTTTTCTCTTTTTTTTTTTTAATTTTAAAATTTATCTCACTTTTTTTCCTTATTTTTTTTTATTATTATATAAAAAATTTATTTAAAAAAAAACCACCTAGGCACTCTAGGTGCTAGGCTATGGGCAACCGCCTACCATCTCCTAACGTTTTTTACAACCTTATGTGTAACAGACTGATTCGCCATAAGAACACTATTACATTGGTCATTTGTAGTTTTTCGACTATAATGCGAGTATAAGTGATCCTTAAACTTGAGATTTTCACTATTTTATATAAAAACTTATGTACTTTGATATTGTTAAAAACAACCATTATGAAGGTTATGAATGTTACTATTATGGATAAATCACGAATCACATGAGACTAATGGAAAGTTAAACAAGGATGGAGAGTTAAAAAATTATTCAACTCTCCTAAGTTCAAGAGAAAAAATAACTTTAGCCCTTTATAGAGATGGGATTACTTGCAAGTCATGGTCATGACAAGAATGAAAAGTTTCATTCCAAAAGTATATCTATCTTGAGCATGCAAAAAAAAAAAAGGGATATCAAGCTTTAAGGATAATGACACATAGAATGCATTTTACTTGATTGAAATATTGATGACAAAGGAATTAAATTACACAAATGCATTGGTCAAAGGAAGGTTAGTCAAAGCCATCTATATTTTTATCACTTTTGGTGATCATGATTTATTGCTAGATACTACTCTTAGCCTACAGGTATTGCTAATTGCCATCATGATAGAAATTGGGGATTCCACATTTAGTGTGTTATGGAGATTATGATTTCTATAAATCCAAGATTATATAAATAGATTAATTTATTTGAAAATTTTATTTTTACAAGAAAAATAAATTAATCAAGTTCTAAGATTTTTTTTTTTTTTTTATCTTGATTGCACAATGGGAGGCAATTATTTTTCATTTCTTATCTCATCCCATCTGTATGCCATGCGATTCAAACTCAAGACTTCATATTTTCAACGAAAAGAGATAACCACCAACCTACTTACGTTGTTGGCATCAAGTTCCAAGAATTAACTTGATAAAGTGGATTAATTTAGTTTAATTAATTAATCCAAGTTTGAATTTGTTCAAAGTTAAGGACAATACAAATTTAAAGTGGCATTTAAGTTCTTAGAGAATTTGTGGACCAAACTCTAACCCATGTTGGACTAAGAGAGTTCGAGTCTTTGTCAACCTTTTGGATTTTAGGCATGGCTTTCAATGATTCATGGAAGAGACTCCAACTTCCTTCTAAACTAGGGCATTTCCTCTTTGACATGGCATTCAGTGGGTGGGGATTGTTGTTTGTTGAACTACCTATTCTCCCCAAGAAGTTGGCCTAATAGTTGAGAATACCTAGCAGTTTAGCATGCTTATAGATATTTTCTTTTTACATTAGTAGCTTTGCTTATGCTCCTACATTGATTGTTATTGTAATTTGCAAGTAAAGATGACTCTTTACATTTAATTGTCTAATAATATCCATCATGGACATGATTTATTTATTTATTTTTTGTATCTAGTGCCATAAGATATGCTTCTACTTTAGCTGTAGGCTTCAATATACAGATTCATATGTAATATCGATTTCATTATTTTAATAAAATCCCTATTTCTTATAAAAGATAATAAAATGGTTTATTTAACATATGCTTTAATAACAAAGGTTAATGATGTATTAAGTGTATTTTTTATTCATTAATTTGTATAAAAAAATATACAAATTAATTCTATTTTCAACACTAGTAATAAGTGCACGGTGCCTCTAAGGGATTGGTTTAACAATTTCAAATTAAAGATCTCATATTTAAATTTTAAATGAGTAAGAAGAAGTTTGAAAAAAAAAGAAAGGGTTGTTTATTCTTATATAATTTGAATTATTTATTCTTATATAATCTATCATTAGATATAAAAAAGAAATAAATAAACAAGTGTATAATTTTAATTTGACAGTTATGAAATTAAAATTAACTTGATTTTTTTTTATAGCAATTGAAAAAAAATTATAAATAACTGACCTAAAAAAAATCCTTAGTAAAATAAGAGAATGAAAAACAGTGACAGATTGGCTTTGGCGCGACTGAACGAGACGGTTCTCTATAAATACCCACACAAAACGCACGCTACGGACTGTACGAAAAATGGAGTCTCATTCGCAGTGGAAGATTTCTGCAAAGAAGATTTCTCTGGAAGACTATCTTGATTTCGTCCTCACGAAGAAGCAAGACCATCTCAACATCAAATTCCTCAATCAGGTTCTTTCCGCGTTTCCTTTTCCATTGTCATTCCTCAGTTAGCTCATCATTTTTCTAATTGAATTTCTATTTGATTGATTTTGTACATAGGTGATCTCGATGCACGGTTTCAGGAAAATTTTCAGTGGTGGAAAGGTGATCTCACTTTTCTCTCTTGTTTGGTTGCTTAGAAAATGAGAGGAAAATTGGAATGGTCAAATATGAAAATAGGAATACAAGTATTCCACTTAATTTGAATTTTGAATAACTACCTTGTTACGCTCAGATCTTCGACCTTTGTTTGGCTACTTAGAAAATGGAGGAAAAATGCTGCTATATATGTCCGTACTCCATGGCCTCAGTTTACATGATGTAGAAAAGTAGTTGCACGCTGGAGTTTTATTTTTGTCAAATTTGATGGAAATTTCTCTCGCTTTCTTGCGGATTGTTTTCGATATGAATGCCTGGTTTCATGAAAATTTTTTGTGGTGGTAATCTCTCTTGTTTGGTTGCTTAGAAAATGAGAGCAAAAATGAATTGGCAATTTTTAATCGTGTTTGTTTCAAAACAACAACTCAAGTATGACATGGGAAAAGGAATTGAAGTAACTACCTGTTAGGTGCAGATGTTGGAGCTCTGTTTGGTTGTTGAGAAAATGCAGGAAAAATGTCTATATTTTCCTTTTTAAACCATATTATTATCTATATTTTCACAGACTCCTTTTCCAGGATGTAGAAAGTAGCTATGTAGAAAGTAGCTGCATGCTGGACTTTTATTTTTGTCAGTTCATTGAAATTCATCCTTTTAGAGGTTTAATTTCTAGTATTTTAGCTTTATGAGATCTGTTGACCGCTTGAAAGTCTGTTTGGTTACCGAGAAAGCTAAGGATTGTAGTCACGGATCTGATTTCCCTCCATTCCCCTTCTATCTCTCTCTGACTAGTGATTCTCTCATTTTCCCCATTTTTGTCACTCGACCAAACAAATTCTAACGTAAGTCTCTCTGTTTTCCCCTTGAATTTGGGTAGAAAGTGTTGATTGATGCTGTGGAAACATTGGATCTCATTGACCCTTCACGCTCCACGCTGCAATCCAGCATCTCATCCAGCGCTTCTATTACATTTGAGGATATAATCGCAGATCTCAACGATCTCAACTGGCATGAATGCTGTGTCACCTCCATCAAAACTCTGAACTCACCCAAAGAGATCTCCTCTTCTCTCCAAATGACCGATCTCTCTGCACCACAACCAACATCAAAAAGGAAGCCAAGGGCTCTGCAGGTCATGATGGCAGACACCAACAATCTCAACCAGCAAGAAAGCTATGCTGCCTTCATCAAACCCCTGAACTCATCCAAAGAGTGCTCCTCCTCTCTCCAGGGCGCCCAGCTCTCTGCACAGCTGAAACTGAAACCAAAGCTGAAGAAAAAAGCTCGTGCAAATGGTAGTGGTGATGGTTCTTCTTCGTTTGCATTGTTTCCTTTTGGATCATCTTGATTTAAGAGGTACGCAATCTGTTTGAAAGGCATTTTCAAATACTTTGTTTTCTTGTCTGATTTCCTGTTATTTTCTGTTTGGCAGTTTTAGTGGGTGTGCAGGAGTGCGGGACAGAAAGCATTATCGTGGGTTATGGAAAGCGAAGATAGATGAGTGGCTTTATAGAGAAGAAGATAGGGGCTTTAGCCTTTCTATTGATGTTAGAAATTCTGAATATGTAACTGTTGATTTGACTGTTTTGAATTAAGTACTGCATAGCGGTGTAGATTGCAGAACCTACTGATTTGTCAAAATTTCCATTATAAAGTTTGATATCTTCTCTTAATATTTGATACTGATTCTTCGTAAGTTCACGTTCCTAATAAAAGATAAAATGATGTACAGTGCATTATTTAGTAGAAGACATCATTTTTCTCAACATTAACTATTAAAGAGATCAACCAACATATTTAACACCTAATTCCTATGTAACACATCCTTGCTTCATAGCAAGGACAAGATGCAAGATCAAATGTTCAAATTTTAATCAATTCCTCTAGCAAAAACAGTTATCAGACATTCAAAGTCTGCCATTTTAGAGAAAAGGAAAGGTAATCAGTCAACAATTTGAAGGCTCAAAGATTATCTTAGTAGGTTTGGTTTGAATATTATCCAAATTCACTAAGCATTTTCCTTAACCAAACGATTCAAGCAAGCAGGTGCTGTAATGTATTTTGCTTCAGCAGTTGATTGAGCGGTTCTTGCTTTGTATAGTACCAGCTGACAACACTTGAACCAATGGTAAAACTTCCAAAAGTCCTTTTCATATTATCTTATTATCTGTAAATCCAAGTAACTTGTCTGAGTTTGTTTTGGTGTCAAGTATAGCTCGGCTAGTGATTGGCCAGTTTTTATTTTTTATTTTTAAATTGCTCCAATAACTGGCTGCGTGCTAGTTAGCTGCACTTGACTGCCGCTAGCACTGCTTGGTATAAAACACACCAAGATCAATTGTGCTGTTAACATTAACATATCTAAGCACCTTTTTGACACCCCTTAGATGAATCTCACTAAGAGACTGCATGAATCTTGATAGAAGGCTAATAGTATGCATAATGTCTGGTCTAGAAGCAGATAAGCATAATAGACAATCATTCATACTCCTAAACATACCAGCATCCATTTTTGCTGCACCATCATCTGTTCTGAAATTTTCACCAACAACAAGTGAAGTGCTAACTGGTTTGCTGTTTGACATTGAATATGCCCCAGCTTGCTCCATAAACTTCCATTCCCAAGAAATTTGACATTTTGCAGAGATAATTCATTTCAAAGGCATTCATCTCAGCTTCAAACTTATTGACTAGCATTAAGGTACTACCTGTCGCTAAGAGATCCCCCATTGGATTGAAACAATCATTTGATCTCTACTTCCCTTTTTCACCTATATGGTTGGCTCATTGATACTTCTTTCAAATCCCAGACCCAACAAATGATCACCTGTTTTGCTGTACCAGGCTCTAGGGGCCAATCTTAAGCCATGTATAGCCTTTTTCAACAAGCACTCACTATAAACTTTGGAAGATTAGGGGCTGAGTTTTGGCATGAACTAAATTTTGACGCGCCAAATGTTTGCCAACTCAGCAAGATCTCAACTTGTATTGAAGGGAAAAGACGGAATAATGATGATTACTTCTGTTAAATTTCAACTAAAATGTAAGAAAGTTAATTTCATTAAACTTCCTGAAAGTATGAAGAGAGATTTATTTCTAGAAAAAGTAAAGGGGTAAATTTACCCGTTTCACCTTGTATCAACTTGCCATGGCCACATTGACAAAATTTATTTCATTTGCAAAGATATAGATAAAGGGTACAACTTATAGAATATCAAAAGACCTGAAAAGCTTATATGAAATGTTCCAGATTCTTCCTCATTTGAGGCAATTTACTTCACCATATTGGCTGCAGAGAGGATGGAAGAATGATGAATAAACATGGGTGAATCCAGTGATCTTCTTGCAATGGACTTTACTTCCTCAAAAATTTCCATATCTGTAATTCTAGGTCCCTGCATGTTACACATTAATTTGTCAAATTACACATGATTAGATGTAAGCAATGGACATTATTTTCATGCTCTTACTATTTATTCTACTACAAATCAAGAAAAAAATTAATATTGTTTTCCAACTTTGAGATGTTAAAAACAATGTCCTTTTTATTCATTACCTTGCTGTTTAGTTCCTGGATGTAACCAACAAGCACTAGTTCCAATTGTAGATTTGCCATGAGGTTCTTCCCATCTACTAAACACATTTGCTGCAATAAAGAGGATAACATATGAACAATCTATTAATATCAAGGATACAAGCCATTCAATAAATGACATGGACAAAATAATCAAAAAAATAACAATAATAACAAATGACATGGACAAAATAATCATGGAATGAAAAAATTCAGGTCATTCAAAAGAGAAGTGTTCTTTCCAGTGCGGACTGATTTTTAGTTTTTCAGTCCAGATTGAAAAGAGCATTTCTGCATTATGCAGTAGGCATTTTTGGTGTTGATAGCTTACCATTTTCCTTTTGGCAGTCCTGCAACAATGATTCTGTCCAATGCTAACAACTACCTTTAAGACCTGATGCATGTCAACTTTGGTCCAACCAAAATATACTCCCACGATTTGATCACGAAGAGCAGATTTGTCATCCTCTATTATTACATATCAACAATTTAGATGTAATACTAATATTTATAGCCACAAATCTCTTACAGAAAATCAGTAACCCAAATCAATTTGCATTGAAGTAAACCCTCAAACTAACACAACTAAAAAATTATGTGCCTTATCACCAACCTTCAACTTCAGATATAGATCCATCTCTGTAGACACTGCTTATATATATTGGTTCAATTGGCAAAGCATTATCTATCCCTGCATTCAATGTTTATGATAGATCATTCAAACGTGAAGAGTGAAGCACCTATAGCCAACTTAATTACTTTTTCTGAAGGCAAACACCATTACTGAAAACTAAAAAGAGATGCATACAGTCTTGAAATTGTGGCAGGCCCCAGAGCTCAGGTCTGAATTCTAGCAATGAATGAAGAATGGTATCTGCTATTGTTGAACAATCAGCTTCACCTCGTGATGGAATGGCCACAACTTTCATTTTGGCATCCTTGGCAGCTCTCACACCAACCCTTTTTTAGATGATAAATAAAAATAATTTCAGTAACTGGCATAATTAATGCAATTACCAAATAAAATAATGAATACAGTACTGCAAGAGGTAAAGAAAAACTTTGGTAAGGTAACATTGGAAAATGGCAATGTGAAAATGGAAAAGCATATGATGCCTATCTAAGAGGAAAACCAGTATAAGTGTTTGCAAGAGAACACTTAATGACACAGCATAGGTTCCTACATGCAGCCTGCAACTATGATGTATAAACCTGTCTCTGCAAGGCCAAAGAAAGAAAAAAGTCTCTGCAAAGCCATAAATCTGTATAGGAAGGTTCTGTTATTAAAATCCACAACTGCTTATATTTAAATGCCCTAGAGAACTTCCTCAACCATCATACTTAAATAGTGTAATTTACTCCAATATTATTTTGGATAGCATTTTACCCTCAGTTTCAATCTCAAAAAGCAAGCTAAAATTGAAATATCTGTGGAAAGTAGTCACTCACTAGTTAGTGTCTTTTGTGAGTCAGGCCTACGTCAGGTTTTGTTGATAACTCAAAATGGCTTAACAGTTAGTTTATGCTTATAAAGGAAAATTCTCTGGGGAAATTATTGTTATTCTTAAGTTCTGAACTCCCTCACATGTAAGCCCTTTGAAACTCCTCTTAATTACAACTTTAGGAGAAATTATTTGTAAATATATCGAAGCCATATCCAACAATATAAGTGAAAAAAACATTCCAAGCATCACCTTTTAAAACTAAAAAATTAATCAGAAATCATCATCAGAAAGGTTTCTAGTTCAAAGAATCACAGTAGGATATTTTACTTAGAATTCTGGACCTTATTTGTAGAGTATTTGTAAATATTTCCACAATACACCAAGTTTTGTAATTTCATTTTCTTGGTCTATAGACTTGGGAAACTTACGAGGAATCTTCAATCACCAGACAGCAGGCTACATCTACACCCATTCTCTTTGCAGCCTCAGTATATCTGTAAACAATTTGCAAAGTTATATTACCTGTCAGTTCAGGAGGAAGAGAAATTCTCAAAGAATTCAGGCTTAGTCTGTGTTAATTGCAACTAAAAACAGATGAAACAGAAGTTTAACTAGCACTAGAGAGCAGACAATTCTTTTGGTATTTTTCCACCTATTTCTTTTTAAATAAAGAATATCTGTCAAAATGATGAGAACCACATTAAAGTTCCCTCAAAAGATTTCTTGCACCAGTTCACCAGGATGTGCTAGAAAGCAAAAGCTTCCATGTCAATACAACCAGTAAGCAGCCTTGAGATTTTACAGGAAAAGCATAACCATGAAAAACTTACATGTCAGGAGAAGGCTTCCCTGATTTGACCTGGTCACTCCCAAGGATCACAGAAAAGTATTCCTTCCAACCTGCACAATGCATTTATTTAAATGAATAAGAGTAGAAGGGATAATTAAAAAAAGAAAAAAATTCAGTGAAACCACATATCATCCATGAGAAGCAAAATACTCAAAAAAAAATATGAGCAAAAGAAGACAAAACCAGAAGGTATGAGGAGGAACAAAATAAGAAAAAAAATGCAAACCAACGAGGATGAAATACACATGGCTGATAGACTTTGTTCCGCTGTGTTAAGAAGATATTAGGGATTAAAATTAATTTTAAGCTCTCACCTATTAGCATAAGCTTTCATATTTTTAATAGGCTTTTATCTTGTTCAAGTGACCTAGTGTTATAGACTTCACTGCAGAATGGACTCCCATGTAACCCTTGAGGTACAGAAATACCAGACCGCACTATCTCCCTCCACCCCCAAAACATGGAAAGGAAGGGGAAAAAGAAAACTACAGTTCAAGAAAAGAAAAGCATATTTTAAGTTGACTTCCTAATCAGGCAGGTAAAGAAAAGACTACCTTGCTGGTAAGAGATTTTTGCTTCTATGTTTTCTCGGAAGGAATTTGAAGCAAGAGCAAGCGGTACTCCATGTTTATGGAGATGTTTGATAAGGCGATTAGCACCGGGGAGGGCTTTGGCATGAGCCCACCTAAAACAGACATTGAGAAAAGTATGAAACAATTAAGAATGTTTTGGCTATGATAGCTAATAGTTATGAGAACTGTGAAAAACAGGTAGCCATGCGGATTCTTCCATGTTTATTTGTTGGTTGTAGTCAATCCAGCCCAAGACGTGTTCCTTGGTTTTTTATTTTTATTTTTATTATTTTTTTTTTCTATGATTATGATAAAACATGTATGCTATATAGAATAGTTTTCTGGAAATGTATGCAAACCGTATCTTATGTTCCCTGCTTAATCAACAACACACTCAATACTTTAGATAACTACTGTCAGGCACCTTTAGCCATTAATCTACCATTTTCTTCTAATTACTTATTATTCTCCACATATTTTTTTAATACAAAATTAGTTATGTGCATATTCATTTTTGGACCTCTTTTAACTAAATTCAATAAAATAGAAGATTCATGTTAAGCTGTTGCAACATAATTAAGTAACATCTTATATTCAAGATTCTAAAACTATTTTGTCAATGCATGAAATGGGAGAGGTCATACAGGACTTTCTATCAACTTGTGGTCATAATCTGTTATCACAGAAAAAGTTAAGGGGCAAACCAAAGATATGCAATGCCAGGCTAATGTTGCTTGAATTAATTAATAGGGATAATCTTGACTCTTAAGAGTCTTAACTATCATAAAGGATTTAGAAAGAGCAGGATTTCACTCAGGAAGTGAAACTGCGCAAATTCAACAACAAAAAACAAATGCAACGGAGAACATTGGATAAAATGCACGAACTAACTCATAAATTCAGGCATCCATAAAATTACATGAGTAAATAAATACAGCTATAAGCACCCATAAAGACACACACCCCATATGTAACAGTTGCAAGAAAATCAAAACCCACTTAGGGAAAAAGAGAAACTTACGATTCTCTGTACATGGGCATTATTTCCATCATATATTCATCAGGTGACAGTGGGAGACAATAGTCCCTGACAATGGCTGCGGCTGATTCACTTTGTGTAAGCCCCACCCTCTTGTTGTCTTCCCTCTCCTTGTCTAATTCTTTCCCATACTTCGCCAAAAATTCCTTCAGAACTCCCCTTGTAACCCTCTCTGAACAAATTGCCGCAAAAAAAAAATTAAAATAAAATAAAATAAAATAAGCTTAACATTAGTAAAAATAGAAGTATATGAAAACCCAAAATTAGCTGAAGTTCCTTTTGGAGACCTGTATCCAAGAGGGTTCCGTCCAAATCAAAAACAACAGCCAAAATACTGGTTTCTGAGGAATTCATGGCGGATCCTTAAATGGGTGTGGTGTTTGTTCGAAGGAGAATTGCAATATACGAGGCAGCTGAGCGCTATATAGACCGGAGAGAGAAGTATTGATACCTATAGAATGGAGAACGAATTCAGTCATTCAAGTGGGGATTCCATTAAAATAGACATGCATATGGTATATTACCACAGAATTTTTCCTTATTACATGGTTCTTTTTGATGCTTCCCTTTGCAAGGTGCAACTACAAATTGCATTATTCTGCAGCATCATTTGGTGCGAAAAGGGCATGAGCATATTCGTCTTTCTAGGGACATCTACTAGCACCATTGGTCGGCTAAAACCAACTTTAGCCCTCACCTTACAAAATTGATAGGTTTTAGTACCTAATCTTATAATATAATACTTTTAGCTCTTTAATTTACAAAGTTGATAGGTTTTAACCTTCACCTTACAAAGTTAGTAGGTTTTAACCACTCACTTTACAAAATTAATAGGTTTACCCCTCACCTTATACTATAATACTTTTAGCTCATTATCTATATGAATTAAGGAAAATAACCCTCACTTAACATTACATTATAATGTTCTTTTAGTTTTGTTCGCTAATTTGTTAGTTCTGTTAACTAACTGTTAGTATCTATTAGCATTTTGTTAATAGAACTAACAAATAAAATTAAAATTAAATTTTATATTTTTTATAACGGAATGCTAACGGATGTTAACAGTTACCTAATGGATGTTAACAGTTATCTAACGGATGTTAATAGTCAATTAACAAAGCTAACAAAATGTTATAACCTAATATTAGGTAGGATTATTTTCTTCTATTCGTGTAAGTGAGAGGTTAAAAATATCATAATATAAAGTGATGGATTAAAACCTATCAACTTTATAAGGTGAAGAACTAAAACCTAAAAATAAAGAGCTAAAAATGTCATGTTACAAGAAGATGGGCTAAATGTTGATTTTTGTCCTTTGGTCCCTACTGAATTTTCATACCAGTCGTGTACCGTTGTTGGAAAAAAAAAAAACGTTATATAATTAGATTGCATTGAACTGTGTAATATTATTATAATTAAATGAGGCTTGGATCTTTGTTATTGAGGTTTTCTTGTGCATTCGGGCTATAAAATAATTTGGTATAATTTAAATTATAAAATAGAGTACTTAATGTATTAGTCAATATTACTAAATTTTAGGGGTAAAACATGGTTTCCAAGAAGTATTACTAAATAATATATTGGAGTTAATATTTATCAATTTTATTTTTAAAAAATTAAAAAAATATTTTAAAATAAAATTAGTGTATATCAATTATAATTTTTAAAAAAATAAAGTCCCAACTATATTTACAAATTGATATCTCAATTTAAAATTTAAAAATTCAATTAGTTTTTAAATATAAATATTAATATTTAATAATATAAGTTTTTATATTTTAAATTAAATTTTAATTAAATAAAATGATATAATTTAAGGTTAAAATTTTATTTTTTTAAGAGTTGACATTGATATGTAATTTTTTAAAATTACCTAATTTTAATAAAATATTATAAAAAATAAAATATAATTTAATTCATGCTATTAAAATAAAATATTTAATTTTTTTAATAAAAATTTATTGACATTAATTATGTAATTTTAAGATAATTTTTTGTAATTATTATGAATTAAGGTAAATAAATACATTTACTTAA